ATGCGCAATTCTCACCTGGAGAACTTTTAGATTTAGACTCTATGGCATCAAAACTCCTGAAATCAAGTAAAATTTTTTCATATAAATTTTATGTCCATGGAATGAAACAAAAATCGACCGTGGCCTATAGCCTATAGAGGAGGAGGACTTGAGTCCCAATAGAAGTTCAAAGTAAGGAGCTTCAATGAGAGTACAATTGTTCATCCTGACTGAAAAAATCCAGGGTATGCTCAGTGCTGATGGAACATTATGTACTTTGTTTTGGAGGTATTGAATGTTAGAAGCTTCATTAAGCTGTTAAAGCTAGATTAGAAGAGAGATCAGCTGCCAGACTCTGATCATCTATATTTTTAGAGGTGCATCCACAAACTGGTATCATTTGCATAGGTATTTACTAATGACCTGAGAATGTTCCTGTGCAGATTGTTAAAATAAAACAGAAAGAGGGTAGGATCAATCAGAGAACACTGACAAATACCTACATTGATTTCTTGGGCTTCAGTAGAATGGCCATTAATCATAACCTTTATAAACCTACTTGATAGGAAGGACTTGGTAATTGTGAAGACCTTTCCGGAGATGCTATAACTGAAGAGTGTTTAGCAACTCCCTATGTCAACACCTTGTCAAATGCCTTTGAGATATTTAAGGCAATTGCTCTTATGTTGGAGTTTATTATCACTAATTCTGTATGCAGTTCAAACATCAGCAGTGGAACTAAAAGATCAAAATCCATACTGCTTGTTGCTCAGGAGGTTGTTTCTGGTGAGGTGATCAACATCTTACTTGTTAATAATAGACTAAAAGAGTTTGCTGACAACACTAAGGAGACTGATATTGCAATAGAGATGAGCACTCACCCACATTCTTGAAAACAGGGTATACAGCTGACACTTTCCATAGACCAGGGAAACATTTCTCCTTCAGGCAGCAGTTGAACAACTTTTCCAAGATTGGAGATAATTTGAGACTAAGGTTCTTAAGAATGATCACTGAAATTTTATATGAACTGGTGGCCTTCATGGAGTCAAGGCTTTTGATAAATCTGAATACTTCCTGATTCAAGATAAAGAACGTTTGTGCTCAGTGGGAGTGGAGCAGTCTCGTAGAAGATGGCTCTTGGTGTCTAATGTGAAGTTTGAGGTAAAGTACATTGTAAAGAGCTTAGCTTTATTTGAGAAGGATGAGATAACCTCAGAGACATTAATAATAATGATTTACTTCTATTAAGCATTTTGTTGGTGATTTTCAGTACTCATCAGAAACAAGCCTTTTTTCCAATTATGACTGAGACTGAGTATGTATATGTGGATAATTCAGTTCGCCCATTGTTTGCAATAACTGAAATGGATTAAAGTGCTTGCTTTCATTCAGCCCTCCAGTCTACCAACTGAGCTGTTGCTAGTAACCTCTTATTCTCTCAGTCTCGTTAGTATGTATGCTGTCACACTAACAATGCATCTTTTTCCTTTGTACGTCTGCCTGTGATATGGGAATTTCGGAATAATCCATTTCTCTTTTAATGCCAGTCGCAATCTTTCAACAGGACCTGACATGCCAAGCAAACTCGCTTTGTGGGAGGTAAGTCTTCTCGTTCCTCACACTCCCCCCTGATTTCATGATCACATAGATGACAGGGTGGGGGAGAATGCCTTCGATGAACACTCCTTCATAGAGGTGGAGGGGATGCTTTTGGTGGCACTACTGCCATGTCTACATTCTGCGTGTCCTTGGCATTTTTGGTGTTATCACCAACCTTCCTCATCGCCTGAATCTATACTCTCTGATACAGAGGGCAGACCATCTGACTGCATTGGGGAAAACATTGTTGTCTCTGAATTACTATCAGACGATGTATCTTTGCTGTGATGCTCTTCTGAGGTGCTTAACTTGTGTCGCAGGTGAAAGTTTTTCACATGGTGCAGCACACCATTGACCCAGACTGTTTGGGAGCTAATAACTCCAACTCTGCAGCACACATGGGACGTCCCGTCAATAGTCCTAATTGTCACATGTCGCTCCTTCCAGACCTGACAGTGGTTTGCACTGATTATTAAATGCAAACTTATACCCCCCAGCTATGAGTAAATAGGACAGCCTTGGGTGGCAACTGGTCTAAGAGAAGGAAACTGAATTCAAAACCATCCTGGAGAGGGTTGGGCACCATCAGGCTATCTTACCCAAGAAACACCACTTCTAGTGTGGCTGCAGTACACGTGGTGCCCCTACAACCCTACGGGTCACAGGATTTGGGATCACATGAGCGATGGGGATCTAATTTGGGAACAGTCTTGTGATCAGTTCTTTTTTCAGTTTAGTTTTAGTTTTCTCTATTCATGGATAATTATAATTCATCATTGTATATTCAATGCTCAAAAATGAGACATTATTTGGCAAATTTTAATCAGAAATTTTGAATTATCATCATATATGAAACTTGATGACAAGACTTAAGTCACATACTGTATTACACGCTAAAAAATAATCAAACGGAATACATTTTCTGTATAAAGGTTTGTTATTAACCCATTAAATCTGGTAGGACTTTCCATCATTTTCACACAAAAATGTATAAAATACAAATTTGAAACTTCTGATAGATAAATGGGAAATAAAGATGAAACTATAAATCTGAATAAAAGTAAGAATACAAAACATGGATTGTATTGGGAATTTACTTTGCATTAGCCACTGATAGTACATAAAATGGCTGATCAGTTATGTATTTGATGATAAAAGCAGATTCCTCATTTTATGTCTAGTAATTATATAACAAAGATGAGAATATTAGCATTTCTTCTGTATAGTCTCCAATACTGATAACCATTAATGTTCACAATAAAAATTTTATTTAACACCAATACTAATTACATAGGAAGCCATTTTTTCACATTTCCCTATATTTATGCATCTTTCAGAAAATCAGTGAAGTTAGAAATTATTTGGCTAAGCCAACTTTAGCACACAGACAGAGTGGATCATCATTGTTTAAAAAAAAAAAACATAACACTAATCTTTTAGAATAGTAACAGTATGAATGTCATGAAATTCAAATTTCAAAACTTCAACTACTGCTGCTGGCACTGAAAGAAAACTTGTGACTGATATCACTGGTAAATAACACTAAAATTAAAAAAAAATAAATTAAAAAGCATTAAACATCTTGAGTAGGAAACAATGAAAAAAAGAATACTTGATGTGAGGAAAAATACTTATATTTTTCATCACAGCAAGTTTCTAAACTGGAAAAGTGGTTAGCATGAGAAAGTTGTACCTCTTGCTTGAAAAATATAGCCATTACCTGCAAGTGAGAAGAACTTTTCAATTATATTTTATAGGATATATTTTAAAAACAATGATTAAAAATTATTACCTGGAAATAAAATTGGTTTTTAATGGTTAGTTAAAGTAAAAACAAAACACTTTTATATTTTAGTTAATCACAATCTGTATACCAAGAAATCAGAAAACATCAGTTAACAATTGCCTAAAGAGTTTCACACTTGTTAAAGACCACTTTTATAAGTTGAAATGAGGATTTCTTTGTTTCTTTTTAAAAAGATGAATCAACTATAAAAAAAGAAAGAAATTTTTATACATTTTGAATTGGTAATAGTGTAGACAATAGTAGTCTACTTAGGCATATTGTCAAAAACAGAAAGAGTAACTGAAAATGCAAATAAGAAACCAAAATAGAATTTCCCTTTGAGTCAGTGCACCTTAAAGTACAAATTAATAATAATAATTCATTAAATTTCAAGTTAGTAAAAATTGAAATTATTCTCTTCTTTTTTTAGACATTTAAAAATATTTCCTAAGTTACTAAAATAATTTATGAATTAATATATATGAAAAATAGAATTCATTGCTTTGAATTTGTCTTTCAGGTATTTTTCCAAAATGTAAGGCACTAACATTTTGAGCTGAAGATTCTATATAAATATAGAGATGGCTTTCATAGAAAACTCAAATTCATCTTGTTTGCAAAAATAATAATGTACAAGTTGTCAGAGCCACAAGTCAATTAACTAAAAAGTTGGTCTTAGTTTGTAAACAAACTTCTAACTTGAGATTTTCAGGGCTCTGCTCAAATAGAGACATAATTTTCAATATACAAACTTCTCTGACAAGCATTCAGTTAAAACTCAAGTAATTCAAAATTAAGAAATAATTGTTTAAAGATTCAAGTCGCTTGATAGGGCAAATATATTATGAAATGATCTTTGTTTTCTAATTAAGTTACTATTTTATACTATATATTTTAACAAATGCAGTATATGATAAAGAATAATGCTTTGTAAATAATTAGGCTCACTATAATTTTCAAGCCTCAAACTGTGACAATTTTCAATATTTTCATAGGTTTAGGTTCTTGTGTAATAAAATGTTTTCATAAGCCAACACTCCTTAGGCTTCAGGTATGGCACAAAAATATGAATAATTATATTATCAGGACAGGTTCCCTCTAAGCAATAGAGTCCCAGTCAAACTGGGATGTATAGAAATATAAAATAATCAAAAGTAAAGCTATATTATAACTACTTTAGACTTAAATAGAATGTTAGGAAGAGTCTTTTTGTAAGTCCCCTTCAAAACAATTGACTAAATGCCAAAAAGAAATTTGAAAAAATAATGACTTTTTCAAGTAAAATGAGTCTATTATATAATTCTGCTTATAAATAATATTTTTGAGCAATTAAAATGGGTAAAGAATAATGTTAGCAACCGAATCAATTATAATGTAACTAAATTCTTGGCTGTAAAGGGGTGAATAAAAGGAGTTGAAATGATTTTCTTCATTTACAATAAATTATCTGTAGAAGAGGAGGTCAATGTCAACAATATGCATGCATTAACTTTTGGAATACATTCCTTCTATACTTTGTTTTTCAAAGTTTTGAGTATTCAAAAAGATAATTTTGTTAGTGATAACTGAAGGCTTGATGCAAATATTAACTTTATCCTACTCAAAGAAATAATGTAAAAATTACTCAACCAACCGTTACCTCATCTTCAGTGTTGTCTCTGGGAGATGCATTGTGTGTAGGTGACATTTCTGATGAGTATGAAGATGAGCTGTCTGTACTTATCCGACGGGTAATCTCCCTTTCTCCACGAGGTGTCAGCATCAGGGCTTGAATATATTCGCAGATTCTTTTGAAACGGCGAGTAGGGCCTGAAACAAAAAAAAATAAAGATACAGACAATGGATATGAAGAGGGTAAATTAAGCAAGTGTCTATTGTTAAAGGGCTGCTATCTATAATACTTTGTCTTTGATATTAAAAGCTTAACAGAAATAAAAGACTATGTTCCATGAAATTTCAAATGCAAATTTTTTTAATACATTTTTAATAGTTAATTTATTCTGATGTTCAAATATTTGAAATAAGTAAACAGGTAACTTTTAAGTAAAAAAGCTACTACGTTCTTGTTTAATTACATGAAAAATGTCAGAATGAAAGGATTTCTTGTTACAAGCTAAACTATAAAATTAAACTTTGTAAATATATTAATAATAAACCTCAATTGTCTATTAATTTATTTCATATTTAATTCAATATAGAGGAGAGAATAAAAAAAAATAAGGGTCAATGATTAAAATGGTTTTGGAATCTATTTTTGTACTGTATCATACTTATATTTCTCTATCAATTAACAGAAGCAACATTCAGTAAATACAAATAGATAGAATAATATGAATAAGAATCTTATAGAAAATAAGAAAATGGGTGTATAAAAAAATGTATGTAAAAAAAATGGATGTATAAAAATAGATCATATGAGAGAAATCACCAACATTAAAATGGCAAAAATCATTGGTTTGAGTTAACAGCTAATGCCAATATAATTAATTCTGCTTGTGACATGATGGATACAAAGTTTTTACAGATAAACATACTATTTACTGATTGTGCATGTTCACATACTGAACTTACAATTTATCTCTGGTGAAACCACCACTCTTTTTAGGATTAAAAATTAGGACATTGATGACAACTCATTTGAGCAAAAACATTTGAAACTTTTTGTTTTGATTCTGATTTTGATCAGTAGTATTTAGCTGTGTGAGCCTTTTGGTGGTGACAAAAATCTGAGAGGTTAACAGGAGCAGGGATATGTAATCCTTTATCATTCACCAGTAGAAAAAGTATGAGTTTTGAATGAAACATGCAAGAATAGTTCTTGTTTACTTGGACCAAATGTTGAAAAGCAAAATGAAAGTGTAGTATCGTATGCAAATTAGCTAAACAAGTATCAATAGAGAACAACTGGCGAACATAGCGCTATGCTTAACAAACCCAGTTGCTAGTCAGGACATGGAGGGCTGTATTACAACTACTACTATGCAGAGAGATATGCAAAACATAACAGAAAGTATGGATTGTTTTCCTCATATGGCATTTTAAACATTGCTTTTATATCTGTTATGAAATACATTTGTTACACTGTTTTCAATGTTTTCTGTTTTTCACTTTCTCTTTTGGTTTTCCTATCTTAAGTCAATTGATTATATGGTGGTCTCTAGAGTAAAATATTTACTCTGTCAAGACAGGACAGCTTACCAAACTGTTGACAACAATTACTCAAGTAATTATTTTATAAGTATCGATTCAAAAAATCTCAGATAATTTGGTAGGTGAAGTTAAAATATTTGTAAAATATTTTCTAAAGTGAAGTGGACAATGAAAGTAGAATATATTCAGGTAAGAGAGTATTTACAGGAGGAAATGTTATAGTTGCAGAATTGTGAGCAGATGCCTATAATCTTTCAATTTTATTTCATTCTGCTGGATATCTCTAGATAAATTTATTTACTAATTCCGATGCAAATTGCCTCTAATGCAAAGATTTAGAGGGAATGACAAAAAATCTAGTGATTTTTGTCTTAAAATACTCTTTTTGACTTGTTTTTGTCACATTCACAAAAGCTGCATGAAACATAACCAATCAGTCCTCAATAGCATATCTACACTTGAAACTACTCATTTAATGTTGTTCTGTTTTTACAATATTCCTCATGATATGACAATATCAAATATATCATTTAGATATTCTCATATAAAATTGTGTATTTCAGCTTTGTCTGAAAATGATCAAACTTTGAGTACCATAAATTTTTGTTTTGTGTGTTTTGATAAAAAAAAAGCAGTGGTAGCATGTAAAACTCTTAAGAGTTAAAAAAAAAAAATCCCAAAAACAAATAAATGTTACCTGAGATAAGGGTAAAAGTCAGACAGTAGGACTCGCCATTGGTGTCATAACCAGGTGAGGGAGATATATCAACCTGGAAGCGGACATTTCTGGAAAACATGGAAGCACTACTGGATCTCCTATATTCTGCTCTGAATGTGGTAGTGGACACAACACTATGGCTCATATCCGGAGTCTGAAAAGACCAGGGAAGAGAATGTAAAGTAAGAAATGAAAAATTACTGAGTTTTGAATTAAATGATGTTAAATTTATATTAATACTATATAAAATGACAACAAAAACATTATGCTAATGAAAAAAATATATAATAATATTTATACAGGGGTGTATGTGTATATGTCTCTATGAGTGCATTTGTTTATCAGTATTTAGTCTTTGAGATGCTTGAAATTATTGTTTCTCTTTATATAATCACTAAAAGTTTACTACTTTTACAGCTGGAACTTCTGGTTATATATATATATATATATATATATATATATATAGTGCTGATTACTATGTTCACACTATATCTATAAATGCTCTATCTATGATACTGAGCACTATTTCCTTATAAATATAGTAAATTTTAAATATATATAATATTTTTTATATATAATAAAATGTCACCCACTACAAGGCATGACAGCTACTCAAAAGTTTACAGTTAACAAAAGGCTAATGTTAAATGAGGTGTGAGATATGAATAAAAGGTTATGAGTTTCTATCTGAATTTCTGAAATGAAGGGTTATCATTATTCTCATTTGGACTAATATCATCATCTTTGGTTTTCTTTAAGTGTCTGTTGATCCAAATAACCTTCAGACAATTTTGAACATTATTTACTCTACAGGGGTAGATTGTTCTCATTTTCCTACCCATATCAAAATATACCTTGCTTTTTAGTATTGTTCAGTTCTTGCTAACCTTGTTTCCACTGAGCCACAGCCTGTACTACTTGGCTGAAGTTTTCACAGACAATTTATTATGCCACCAAATTCATGAACCAACTTTTGAATCTTATAGGCTATTTTCCTATGGAACAATCCTGGATTGAGAAATGCAAGCCTTAAACTCAAAATTCTTATGTTCTGCCCACTACTGCTATTACATTTGATGACCTTCACCCGAAACTTATCTTTATTACTGCTTGTACTAAATTCTTTGTTGCGATGCTTGGCTCTCACTGCTGTTGCCTCCCTTACTTTCTTTATTAATGGCTCCCATATTGTATTTATTTCTATGCTAATCCTATTGAGGATGCTGCCATAGCCTAGCATATGCACTGATTCCTTCATGTTGTGGTAAACCCTCCTACAGTATAATGAACTCTTCCTCCTCTCATAAATACAAACTATGAGAGTCAGATACCAAAGAGTGTGAAGTGAAGTGGAGCAGTAGACGCAGTGCTAATCTACATATTACTAACATTATTGTTTTGTATATATTTTCAATATACTTTTTCAACCTACCTTAATCTTCCGTCTATCTTTCTGGCCCCTAAACAGGCCACAACACTTCAAACATCTGATTCTCCAGTGTTCTATGTCTGATATTTTTACTTCATTCCACATGGGTTGGTGACCACACTTTTTCTTCCATACATGAACATACACATCTGCTTTCATTGTCCTACCACTAATTACAGTTTTTCAATCTTTTTCCCACCTTATTTTAGGGGTTAACTGGTTTTACCTTTGTACTCTTGGACTGTGAGGGATGAAATACAAATAGTTCTTGATCATATTCTCTGTTAGAAAGGATACAGTAGAAGTTTCACTGTAATGTTGAGTTGCTTCTAAATATTATCCTGATGTTGTATAGATCACAGATCTTCTGAGTCCTTTCACACTTAATGTAAGGAGAAATGAACTGTGACAGTTTTCAGACCCTCCCCCTTAACTCTATTGTTTTTCCCCGTAGAAGCTGATGTTTACAGGGTATTTTTGAAGGGTATGTTTGATGTCGGTCATCTCCTTTGTATAGTGCTGTAGTCATCAGATGATCCCTTTCTTTATGCTGTATGGATGGTGAGAATTGAAGTTAAGGTATTGTCTGGTGAAGGTGGGCTTGTGATCTAAAGTTATCTTGAACCCATTCTTATTATTAGTTTTTAGTACATTAAGTAAGGTCAGCTGATTTTTGGTTTCTCCTGTTGTGAACTGGATTAAAGCTCTTACTGATTTCTAATCGTCCAGCACTAGATGCACAGCTTCCTGGTGGGTCAGATTATAAAGGGTTCTCTAATTATTTAAGCTATACAATTAGCATGAGTGGTGCTATTATGAAAGCTATTTTCTTAACATATTCCATGTATATGTTTGCCATTTTTGGTGATGACAGAGAACTCGTAGCCAAACATCACTCTTGCTGATATATGTCAGACCCTAGTTGATATACTGTATACAGACAACATTCTTACAGTGTCAAATTTACAGCTGTAAATTGATGAGATCTTGACACCAGTTTAGTACTGCGCTTAAATTCAAAAACTCTATATACCATAGTGAAGAGCTCATTCAAACAATTACCATGAAAGTATTTATAGAAAAGACATGAGAGGCAATCTTACGGTGGTGGGAAAGTGACTGGAGCTGAGCTGCCAGATTTGGACCAATAATATTGCAGATTTATGTTTGAATTTTATCAAGGAGCTCAAGGTAAATAGCAGGGACACTAGACCATTTGTGGCAGCAATATTCTAAGTATGGGTGAATGGTAGACTTATAGATATGCATGATAGATTCTGAAAAGAAAAATTGTCCCGCCTAACATAGTGAACCAACTTTCTTAGCAGCTGAACTAGCAATAGATTCAATGTAGTCTTTCCACTTCATATCAGCAGAGAATGTGACCCCAAGAAGGTGCAACAAGTCAATTTCCTGGAGGATAACATCAGCCACACTGATAGAAGGCAGCAATTGGTCTCTCAGATGATTAATGGAGAGAAATTTAGTTTGGGAAGCATTAAAATTAACAAGCCATTTTTTGCCCTAGTTAACTACAGACTTGAAGTCGTTTTGGACATCAGCTGCCATTTTGACCTTGTATTGAGGCAGAAGTAAATTGTAATATGTGTGTTTGTGTGTAAATTGATGGTTACATGAATGCAATATAGTGGCAATGAATAAACACTTGGGATTTATTAAAATTGTCATAGAAAGATAAGGAAAACACTTCCTTGTGAACAATGAAAAACAAAAATATACTTTAAGCCAAATTTACTGAAAAAGTAATTTAGGAAAAATTCCAGTTAACATCTGATATTTCCGTTTGCTAAGATTATCAAAATCTCATTGAAGCTTTTTTTAAATTCAGGAGAGTATTGGAAATCAATTCTTAGTCATTCTTAGAGATAATTTATCTCTAAGAATGACAATATGTGGAAGAATATGTTCACTCACAGACAAGAAGGCATGAACCAGATCAGCCTTCACTTGACTCAAAGGTTTATCTCGAACAATGACAAAATGGTGTTCTTCCCGTTCTGTTCCCATGAGTGCTCCAAACCATGACCTCTTTGTCATTCTGAATTGAAAATTGTAAACATTTTTAAAATATTTTTACATTTTCACTGATTTATTACAATAAAGACTGATCTATGGAACCTGGCATGATTTTTAGCAAAAATAATAATAATAATAATACAAATAGAAATATATTGAATATTACATATATAAAATAATATTTGCTGTATCATTAACATTTATGATGCTTAAAATGTAATTTAATAACTTTCATTAAAAATTAAAAATAAAGATTGCCATGACTGCAAATTAAAGGATTTCTATAAGAATTGATTTTCTAATTTCAACAGATTTGCTAAAAAGAACCATAACAATATCCAATTATTCTGAGGAGGGAAGGCAAAGTAAAATGTATAATAGAATTAAAAAGTGGGATACAAATTTGATAATTGAAAAAGAATCATTATTAATCATACCATTTTATCTTTCTTATACAAAATCTTATTACATTGCTTCTTAATATTTACAAAACTCAGTGTGGTACATGGCTAACATCTTAAATGAATAATTTATTCTATAAAACACAATGTGCCTATATATTTATCAGACATGCCACCTGAACCCCCCTTCTTAGTAATTCCTCATATTACCATAATAAAAGAATATCTCATTAGTAAGTAAAGGAAATCAAGCTGCTAATACATTGCTTGTTATTCCTTTTGTTTCATATTAGCTTTCTTCAGATATTTTTACTTTTAATGATATCAAAAGTAGAATTCTTTCTTAGATGTGTGACTAGAGACTAGTATAGACTAGAATTCTAAATTACTAATGAAGAAAATATAATCATTGCAATTGTAATATTAATTAAATGTTATTTTTTGATGGCATGAGTAAACTAGTATTTAATATGTTTATATGAATGAAAGAAACAATGCCTAGACTTTTTCCTCGTGAGTTTTGAACACAGGTGTATGTATAAATCAGGTTAACAAGTATAAAGACATAAGCCCATATATAACACTGAAATGTAAAGAGCAAACACTTACTCAGGGGAAGATTCGGGAGTACAGCCAAGATCATCACTGGTAGGAACTGTAATTAAAAAACAAAGCAAGTAAGAATTATTCAAAAATTATAGACTATGTTTTAAATTTCTATTGTTTCTTAATTGTGTAATTACACTCAAATATTTCTTTTGATATAACTATTCTTGAAGTTTATTTTTAATCACATACAGCATTTATTCTGGTAACTTTTAAGAGATATGTCACAGAAACAATATTTAAATAATGTAACATGCATAAATACTTAGTTAAAGCAGGTTTCCTCTTTTCATTATAATCATCATAATAAAATATTAAATAAAAGGTCTGTTCAAAAAGTACACATCCATTTTGAATATCTTGAGAACTGGTTGTGTGGCCTTGATGTAACTTGACAATCAATAAGAGGGGATTTTACTGTACATGTATGAACTAACATAGACACTTTCCTGTGAGAGGCAAAAGTGTGAGCTTGTGTAGTGTATCCATTGCATTCTACAAAAGCTAATTAAATGATAAAGAACATTTTCAGGGGTGATTCAATCAGTGAAGCCCAGATAAAATTTGATTATTAATGCTACAAACTTGGCTGGGAATCTGTTAAAAGCAATATACATTCTGGAAAGCTTTAACAAGAAAAATGTCTGAAAATGTTGAACATATACAATCAAATGAAAATCATTGATTGACAGTGCAATAATTAAAAGACCTGGAGATTGTATGGACTGTTTGAAAAATATCTCTTTTGAATATTTTATCTACCTATTGTTCACTTCTCATATAGTTTGTTTTGACAAAGCTTTGGATCAACCAAGTCCATCACCTGCCAGATTTGGCTCTTTGCAACTTCTGGCTTTTCTCTCAGTTAAAATTGTCATTGAAAAGGAAGAGATTTCTAACTATGAACATGATCAAGATTAAAGAGACAAGGCAGCTGATGGTGATCCTGATAGCAGGATTTGAAGAAGAGACATTGTGATAAGTGTGTGAGGTCCTAATGGTGGAGTATTTGGAAGAAGTTGAAGTGTCAATACCCTAGGTAGGCTACTTTTTTGTTAATAAATAGCTAGATTATATTTTCAAAGGACCTTTTGTATCCATACTTATATTAATTAACAAAATTGCCATGAATCATCTCTCTGGTTGGCAAAGAACAAGACTCATGAGCTTATTTCAATAAATATCCATGTTTGTCTTTATTCACACAGTATTTTGATTATTATTTGTTTTGATCATCTATAGGTGACATGCTATGATCGAATGATCTGTTTTTCAAATTTATGAAATTTATCATTCTGCAGATGTGAACATCAACATGCATGCATGTATATGAGGTAAGTATTTTATTTTCATTTAAATGTAGTCTGTGAATAGATATGTTATTTAATTGTGATATACAGGCTAGTAAATAGTGAGGTACAAACATATGAAGATATAAGTTAATATTTGGATGTAAATATAAACTGGCTTAGAAATTAATTATTCATCATTGTTCTTTAGATCTCTACATTTTGGCCAATGCATTTTCTGAACTTCTTTGGATGTATATCACCCTCGATAATATTTGAATCTAATTCATAATTTGTTTTTGTTTTTGTGATCTTAGAACACTCACTTGTAACTTTCGTTAGGTAAATGAATGCTTGTTATCACTTCTGAAATGCTTGTTGTAGACTTTGTAATACAGGTTCTGCTAGTAGTAATACCTTCAAATAATACTCACACTAATAGTAATTCATATAATGATCAGTATAGAGATATATTATAGTGGATAGTATAGAGTATAGCGATCACTTAGACATCACACTAATTCCCATTTATACGCTTCCTTTACGATCATGTGATCTACTTATTTAATAATGGAATCATACGTGTTTGCTCACTGGTGTTCAAACTATGGTGTTAGCAATGGCACTTTATTCCTATCTAACAGTTTTGTATACCAATTCAAAGATTCAAGTAAGAAATATTCATTAAAAAATTGCAGATGAAAGTCAAAATCTACTAGAAGTGATATAATCATGGGGAATATGTCAGAGAATGCTTTAGCCAAAATAGTTATGAAAACCACAAAATCAGAATATTAGTCTAAATCATTCATTCAATGTTTCAAGTAACAAATATATCAAAGTGTACTATATATATAGTTTATTCTGAATGGAACTTTTCACAATCTATTTAGCAACAAAAACAATAATGAAACCAATGCCTGAAAATATTGTAGATGAGAATATTTGTCTAGATAAACTCATGAATGCAAATGATAACTTAGCTCACAAATATAACATAATTAAAAATAAACACATTAAAAAAATCAATCAGGTATGAAGGATGGGTCTAAAACATGGGGAGAAGCAGTTTTAATTTTAGAGGTTAAAGCTACAGGGGTATGTGGGTGGGTTATATTGGCATTATGGAAATTATTTTCCATTTCTGTGCAAAAAAAAGCATTGTTTGCATGTGATGTGGATAAACTCCACACTATCATTTAACATTTACTATATATTTGCTAAATGTGAACTCTGTGTGTAAAAGAAGAAAGCCAATACTTTGGTTACACTGGTCTAAATGAAGATTTTAAAGTTGACAAAAGTCTGGCAGGAAAATTCTCTACTCTTTCAAATTAAAGCAAGTTTTCTTCCTTTTCTTGCTACCAAAATAGGTAAAAAGAAAAAAAAGAGAAAAAAAGATGTCAAAAGAAGTACATTTTTTCATTGCATTCTTCTATAATGTTTTCATATTTTTAAATGACAAAAACCTAAGAATTTTTAATAGAAGCACTGTAATTTAATACTTCCCATTTAAGCATAAAATGAGTTTTATTAATAATTTAGGAATAATTATCTGATAATTTTTCCTTTTGTAATTGTTTTTTTTTCAATTATGTACAAATATTGAAACAACTTAAGTCAATTTTTGAATAAACCAAATTTTGACATGTAAAGAGGTCATAAGATGCTGTCAGGAAAATCCACATATTGTCAATGTGCATGACTAAAAATATAAAAGTCTTTGAACTTCACATCATAAATGCTGAATATTCAATAATAAATAATAACATAATTTTGTGTGAGAGAGAGAGAGAGAGAGAGAGAGAGTAAACTAAAATGTTTGCTTTCTTTATTGGTTATTAATTACAGGTATTGTTAATTCATTTGAATTCTGTATGCATTTTTATCAACATGTACACCACAAGTTATATAGCCTGATGTAGTTATTAGCTGAATTTTGATCTGAAATTATTATTATTTAATGTAAAATTTACAATTAATATCATTAAGTTCATTGACAAGGAAGGATAATATGTTAAAAATAAGTATTTGTTATACAAAATGCTTTTTCATTATTAGTCGATAGGCAATTTTATTTATTTATATATGTATGTATGTGTTGGTTTGTGTGCATGCACATATGTTTATGTTATATAATATTGTCAAATAATGACTAAATAGGTATTTTACCCACATTGCCTGAGGGAGTGAAAAAAATGGACACTTAATTACTCATTTATTCTTCTCATCTTCTATTATGGAATATTTATGTTAAGATGATTGGTGATAAGACAGGGTAGACTGGTTTCATGCTTTTCCTATAAGTATTAACTTGAGATTGCATTAATAACTTGAACTTAAGTCATTAAATCAATTTTTCATGCCATGTAATGTGTATGTGTGCAAATGTATTTGTATAGAATCATAGAGACATTTACACATACAAAAATATGACTAAGAATAAACAAACACAAACGGAATTTTATTGTTAAAAGTAAAAATATAACCTTAAACCAAAAGCAAAATGTGGCTTATATCCCCACCATTTATAATTAACCACTGACAGAGCTGGTAACTTTGTCAAAAATTTTATGCTACCTTGTCTATTTTATAAATTTTCTTTTGCTTACTCAATTAACATAAATATATTATACCTCTGTCTGACAATAGTTGTTAAATTTAGTGTGTAGGAAATTTGTTCACAAATAGATTTTACAATTTGTAAATAAAATAAATAAAAGAAATTTAATGAAAATGAAATACAGTGTGTGCAACTATTAATTTTGAGAAACATTTAAATAATTTAATTTACATTCAAGTATTTTTTGGCTTTTAAAATAGCATTTTAAAATTTACATTTAATGCTTTTTGGTAGATGTGTATCAATTTTCAAATTTGAGAACAGTCTAACTAAAACTGTAATACATCATTTCAAATATCATTTGGATTTTTTTCTAACATGTTCTTAAATTTACACCCACGACTGATTACACAACAGATTAAATTTTGAAAATTTAATTTTTTTCTTTTCTTTCAGAGATTTATTTCAATACTAGTCTATCAGGTTTTTAGCTTAACACTAAGTTGTTGCTAGGATATATCAATATAACATTTAATAGTCAAAGCCAATAGTGAAAGGAAAATATGTAAATGTACAATCAATGTAAATGTAACAGCTATTATAAGATAAAAGTAGTACATTGTTTTCGTAATAAATACATCTTAATATAGAGCTAGTAAATATTACCAAATAATAAAAGATAGTAATAAATTGATATGCTACTAATATAAAATTATAGTTATTGACATTGGGACACTCACATGGCTTTCACAAGACTGGAATAATCTTTTAAATCAGAAAATTTTTGCATTTTTACTATTTCATTTGATGAATATCACCTTTTATTTCTGATCAGCATAATCATTTCCTCTGCATTTTATTAACCTTGAATGAATAAGAAATTTGATTGCTTTCCAACACAGAATATTTTGTCATACACTGAATAGACATATGAAAAGATTATTTGTGAATAGTGGAAAAGCAAAAGACTACCAATGAAGAAAATCTATCATGTCAACTTCTTTCAGAATGTTCATTATCAGAAAAATATCTCATCTCAAATCTGAAACAGTAGAAAAATAATGAATAAAATGACTATTTTTGTAAATGTATATGGAAAAACTGGAATTTTTTTAAATACATATTTCTAGGATTTGATCTGAGGAAAAATACAATTACTTGAAAACATTAAAAAAAAATGTAAAATGTTTAATATTCATAATTTGATTTTTTTTTTAAGTTTTAATATTTGTAAATATTGTACACTTTGTATATGTAAGGAGATCTCCTGGTATTTGAAATCATTTCTCCTTCTCTATGGTAAATATGCAATAATAAGTATGACCTGTTAGATTGAGTGGATTGGTATTAGGATATCAAATATAAGATCTCTTAGCTTACAAGCCTAAGTTTTAGTTCATAAGCTTTACCTACAAACTGTTCCTCATAGATTTGAGCAAAGATGTAGTCATATGACTTAAAAGCCTTTGATATCTAATGTCAACTGCAAGAGATTGACTTAAAAAAAAACAATATATATAAACAATGGTTACTTGCAAGGGGGAATTCCATCACACCATTAAGTATAAAATAATCAATGATCAGTTCCTTGATGGGAAAACAGTATTTCACAGCACATGGTGGATCAGTTTTTCAAATCAATTGAATATACTATAATAAAGGAAGGATTAATAATTGTGCATAAAAGTAAGTAGATAAATATCCATCATTCATACATATTAATGACAGTATAGATGTACTTAGACTAACAAATAAGTAGATAAGAACTGAATATAATTAATAGTTTGCAAATAGGTAGATATTAGATTAACCAAAAAGTTAATTTTCTGTTATCAAGAGCATTTACTTTTAGCTAACTTCTTTCAAAAAGACAGTATTGTAACAGCTATCACATCAGAGTCTATTTAAAAAAAAATTGTCAAAATTGGTTTGTTTATTGATTCTAACATTGACAATAAAATTAAAATATTTTCACCATTGCATAAAACCTAGAATATATTTATTTCTATCTGAAATTTGGTAATATTCTCTCTGATTTTATTAGGACATGTTTTCTTCTTGAGAATCATTTCATTTCTCTCATCTTAAAGCTAAACTTGATCTGGCAAGTTACCATTGTACGACTGCTTCCTTTCATGACTGTTTATAGAAGTTACATTTTTATCAGCATTTATAAAATTCATTTCATTTTTTTGTTGTTTCTCATATTTCAGTTTTTCCAAGTCCATTTATGACTTTTTGTTTTCCAAAAATTGTTTTCATAACTGATATTTTGTATTTTTCTGAGAAGTTGACTAGCATTTACCCTCTTTCATTCATCTTTGTTTATTCTAAATTTTCTGACACAAGATTTTCTATCTTTCCTTTTTCTATTTTATTGAAGTCTCTCAACAAAATGATATAAGTTATTTTCTCTCTGCCCATAAACTTACTGATATCATCATATAAATTTTTCATTTTTTCATCAAAACATTTTGAAGTTGGTGCATAAACCAGAATTACCTTTTGCACAATCTAACTACTATCCAAGCTATTGTCTGATATACTGGCAAAACTGCAATATTGTTATTAACTGAACATTATATACAACTAAAATACAACTAAACTTGTGAATTTGATATTTGTTGAAGAAGTGTATATATATATATATATATATATATTCAAACATGATTTTAGTATGAGTGAACATATAAATTGATTTAGTTTAAAATTAAAAATATAAAAGTATTGAAATTGATTCAAATCTCAGAAACAAATCTGCATAAACTTTTATAGACCTGTCCAATATTATTATTTTTATGAAAGTAATATAATTTTGTAGCTGTTATTGTAATGGTTATCTTCTTCATTATATTTACTCTTATTATTAATATTATTATTAGTAGTAGTAGTAATAGTAGTAGGTTAAATAAGTCTGGTTGTGCATATTGTATCCATGCATATTCTGCAGTAAAAGCCAAGCACAGGTCTCCAGCATGCTTATGTCATAACTTAAGTCACCTGAGATCTGATCCATTTCAAACATAAGGCCATTGTGGTAGGGAATACCTTGAAGTTTGCGTCGGTGAAAGCGAGGAGATCCCAGGAAACTGTTTTTAATGGTATGTAGCCGTGTTTTCCATGGGGCTGGGGTAACTCTTGGGGAAGTGGGTGGGGTATTGGTGGGACTGTTGGTAGGTGTGGCCCGCTGAGACAGCTTCGGACTAGAAAGTGGAGATGAACCAGGACTTCCTGTTATGCTGGCTTTTCGCCTGAAATCAGAAAAAGTGATAAATAGATTTTTTTCATTTGAATTTTGATTTTAATATTGAATGATGCCTGCAGAAAAGTATGGAAAGAAACAAAAGAACATTAAATTTTTAATCTAAAAGAAAAAATAAAAGTTTCTTTAATGTGAATAATGGAAAATAATAATTTAACATCCCATGTTGCTTTCATGGCTTAATGATTTTCAACAGACATGTGCCTTACCTTCTAAGTTTTGTCTGAAAGAAAAAATTTCATCAAATATATGTTTCAGAAAAAGTGTAGGCATAGAAACATGTAATACTAAAGATCATCTTGTTTTGTTATGACTGAAGGAGATTAAAACATTAGTTTCCATTTGATGACCCAAATTAAACCATATCTTATAATATAAGAAATAAATAGGAAATGAAATTATTTGACAATTCTAGTATGGAATCTATATTAATAATCTGTATTTGATTTTGTTGTTTTGGGAAAATTGTTCAAAATCACAAATAACTGAATTGCTTGATAAACACTCAGAAGAACATGCATTAATATATGCAGAAATGCTGAAAAGTTCTTGGCCTGACCCACTTCCCAAAATTTATTCATTGTTTTTGTTGCTGTAGCTGGAAAGAGTGTTCTTTCAGCACTTTACAATTAAAGGGCTAATTTGCAGGATCTGAGCATTTATTTTTGAATCCGATTCAGATCATTAAATGTCAAATTTTCAAATGTTGAAGTCTGTGATATCATGAAGCTTCTATTCCTGCAAAAGAAATCTCCAAAGTAAATCTGTAAGTGCATGATTCAAACATTAGGTGATAACAGCCTGGCATACTGAATTGGGAAGAATTCAGCATAGAGATTTGGAAACTGAAAATGCAGTATGGTCTAGTGTCGACTTTTGAAAGTTGACACTGTTGAAAGCATTCTGCATTGTTGATAATGCTCATGACTTAATTTGGGACAATCAACAAATTTCACCCAAAAGAATTAAGATACAAAAGATATCTAAGAAATGAATTAGGATTGTAATAAAAAAAGCTGTCAGCTAAATCAGGGCCAAAATGTTTGAATGTCAACAGAAATAATATCTGTAAGTTGATTCTGCAGTGGTCATTTTTCAAAGGACTTTTCATTGTTGAGGCAACATGAGTTCAATCATTGTAGAGATGTTTTGAATAAAATAGATTAGGATGATTCAAAATTTCTACTAGAGATCATAATTTAGTCAGTATTTTTTCAGTTTAATGTTTTCAAACTAAACGCTTGCAGAAATTCTTTTAACAAATATCTCTGTGTCAGTTTCAGAAATGCATAATTTCAGTATAAAAAAAGAGCCTGAAATTATATTGTCAAATATATTTTTCAAGAATTTTTTCTGTTTGAGTCCTTTAAAGCAACCAAACAACCAGCACTAAAAGATATGAAGTGGTCTTAAAATTCTAGCATGGTAACAAATTATTTTTTTCATATTTTATTAAATAAAGGCAAATGTGTGTGAAAGCTAAACATGTAAATATGATGAAAAATAGAGTAAAATTTTGTAAATATTATAAAAATCTTTTTTTTTGAGTCTCATTTTTTTTTTGCTTATAAAATATTTATTGATGAGTCTTTTTGATTTTATTTATACTGTAACACTATTTGGGTTGCTGGTAATTAATAATAAAGGCTTGGAATATCAATGAAAACTAGGTATTGATTAATAAACTACCATGGAAAGGCTTAAATGGATATGAAGAACAATAGACTGATAATAATTGATTCCTAGAGTATCAAGGGTTTATAAAAATGAACAAGGTGACTGGCTGAGAGCAATGCTTGTTTTGTATGATGGGCCAAGTGTTGACAGTATTCGACAGACAATGCCCATGAAATCGACATGAGGAGAATTGGATTAAATGCCAGTTACAAATAAAATCTTTTTGCAGAGATGTCAGGATTGAAAACAATAAGCTGAACACCTGTGATATGTTGACCTTTGGCTGAATGAATTGTCACCATAATGTGAGTTGCAAAATTTTCCCTGAAAAAGTGTCTCTTGGGTAAAAGGCAAGAAAGCCAATTGCTTGTGTCAATTCACTTATGAGGTGATAGCATTTGGAACAATCATTTTTTTTTTAATTAGTCTTCGACCAAATGGTGGAGGTGACAGGGGCAGAAGAATGATCAAGAAAGGAGGAGGAGCTGCCTGCACCCACTGAACGGCATAGATAGACATTAAGGAAGTTGAATTGAGCTGCCCATGACCACTGGTGGGAGATGGTAATAAGAGAAAGTTGAAATAACCAAGCAGAGCAATGTCTGCATCCATCTCCTATGTGAGAAGGGGAATTCCCCAAAATTATGAAGTAATTTAATTTCTCATGACAAAAATAATGGAGGTGACATGTGGATGAAATACCAATTCCTCCCAACTACATTTCACCCCTACACCAGTTTTTTTTTGGCAGACAACAATGGACTCTTTTTAGAAATCACCAAAACCCAAACTACATCTTGCCCTGCACCAGTTTCTAGTTGGAGTCCATAAATACGAATGTGTGAAGCGAATTCAGACAGTTGGGTTTTGAGAGTTGAGACGAGACAGAAGGGAAGTGGTGGCGGTCGCTGGGAGATTCCACAACTCCTGCCGATCATGAGAACCTCTGACATCAGGCTTGAGCCAAACTTACCAAATCAGTAAAACAAATTTTGTTAACTCCGCAAGCCAAAACTTACCAGCTTGCCCAAGTGTTGCATCTGATTTAGGAATGGGTTGAGTCGACAAACTCTTGTATGCTAACACCTAGACCCTAACAACTACTAACAAACCATTCCATTGTACGCAGTATTCGATATAAAAATAGTAAATAATTTTTTTTTATATATTTCGAGTGCTGTTTTTTTCTCCTATTTTATTGTACAACTTCACTCAACTTGGACCAGCCCAACACGAAGATACCTGCGATGAATCGATCTTGGCAGCCTTATAATCAATCAATCACAATGTGGGGTAGGGCAAGTCAGGATTGAAGAGATCACTCCATTGATCAAACCAGGATTCACCCTGGGCTGATCATGATGATGGTGTTACAATACAGGTACATTTTTCTGCACTTTCTGATCAATAATAAATAATAACTGATTCCTAGTATTAAGTACAGTTGTTAATTAGCTAATCATAGGATAACATTTACAAGACCCTTGCTAAAACGTTGCTCAATAATATTAGCAGTAATTTAGGACTAACATTTTTGCCTCCGGTCAAAGGCAGAAGTTACATGATTGCTAGGCAATTACCTTGTAAATATTTCAATGACTAAACCCTAGAATTTGTAGGGGAAGGGTTAAAGAAACTTTAGAAATGATGCATTGAAATGTAGGATGAATATGTGGAATAGCATCCATGTAACATGGTTCTAGCTCATTCCTGTGTTGGTTGGGTCAAGAACCTTTCTGCATCTCCCTAGCATGGATTCAATTCATTAAGATATACTGTTAAATATCTACAATCATTTTACATTGTAGTTTTGGGAGAATGCAAAATTGACAATAGTATTTTAGAAACTTGATTTAAAGTTATATTTCATAATTATAATATATATATATATATATATATATATATATATATATATATATATATATATATATGTGTGTGTGTGTGTGTGTGTGTGTGTGTGTGTACTAGGTAATTTAGAACTGATGGTAATATGAAGAAAAACAAATATTCAAGAGAAAAAATCCATATATTAAAAAAAAAACTTTCAAACACGATCAACTTAAAAAAGAATAAAAACAGAAAATATTAAATAATATATTACTAAATAAAATCACCCTCAGTTTTGATGATGGCCTTGTTTGCATGCAAATGTTGAGCATCAAATCCACAATGATGGTCATTGGTATTGTGAAGCCATTGGTTAGTCTCCTTGATAAAATCACAGAGCTAGGTTATTACATGTTAGGGTGACATGATTGTGAAAATTCATAGCCAGCTACTCCTGTGTCACAGAGGCTATGTATGAGGAAGCAGAGTTCTGCCAGACCATGTATGTCCACACTTTCAATTGCTTTGTCTAAAATCTAAACACTGCCAGTCTTAAACATTTATTTGTTTAATTAATAACAAAAAATACAGGCATTGATTATAATTTCTAATATATACAAGTATATATGTATTTATGCTATTCTAAAATGCTGACATTGCTTTCATATAAAACCATTTACCAACATTGTTATTTGAATTTTTACAGTAAAAATTTCTTGATATTTCTATTAGAATTCATGTATGAGACATTATGTTGTGCGTATATATATATATATATATATATATATATAAAAATCACCATTTTATGAAAATGTTAAGTTTTGTTTTGAGTCAAGTTTTTGTGTACTTCAAATAAAAACTGAACTTTGGTTTTAACAGAGAACAAGGCAGCACTTGTAACTCATCTGATATATCATGTGTGATGAAGAAGAAATTAAACTTTTATGTACCATAATGAATTTAACATTAAAACACTATAAAATTAAAGTATATTGCATCAACATTTATTCTACAAGTTGACTCTATATCTATTATTTTCATTCTCACTTAATATAAGATAATAATAAAAAAGAACTTATTCAATAAAAACAATAATGTATCAATATATGGGCTTTGTGCATTAAATGAATAAGGAACAATTTGTGATGGGTAAAAATAAACATGCAAAGGATAAAAGTTGCATTGGCCACAACATCAAAATGTACATACAACATAATAATACCAAGATAAAGTGCATACAACAACTGGCTTTCAGTTTAATATATAATGGGATGCTCAATATATATATATATATATATATATATATATATATATATATATATGCCTGCTTATATACATTTGTGTCTGCAGTTAATATTCTGAGAGAAGCCCTTTTTCTGCAGCCCTTAAGTGAACAGTTATACTGGACATGAAAAGCATAACATATGCATAAGCTAATACTGATATTGCTCATAGCCAATAAAAAGGATAATTATTGCAAGTTTATCAATATATATAATAAGTGAGAGAGAGAATGAGAGAGATAATGAGCCAAAATGGAAAGCTTTTGTTTGGATATTGTTCTACATCTTACTAACATGTGTGAGGTGGTGCCAATGTATTGCTGATGATTTTTTTCAAATTTGAATTTGACAATCACCTATTAAAATCCTTTTGAGCCAATACATTTCAGCAAGGTCCTGAGCTTAAAAGTCCTTTCAATATTAACACTACTTCAAAATTATTATAGTAATAATGACAAAGAAACCCCAGCATTATCTATAAAATATAAATACCACAAATATTTTTTATATACTAATATTTAAAGGAGGTTAATGTTTTTTTATTTTTATATATATTATTTGATTTTTAATAACTCACTGGTAATTACTAAATTTAATATAAAAATGCAAGAGAACTGCATAATCATTTTACAAAAAGCATGGAAATTGTCAGATTTTGAATGGAGATAGTGGTAATCAAACTGAACTTGTAAGAAATTAAACTGAACTGGAAATCTGTACATTTTGCTTATGTAAAGAAAGGAAACTACTTCAATTTGGTCAATTTCAAGTTGATCTGGGCCCTTTCTTGCTTATTATTATTGTAATATTTTTGTCTGATGAAATGTGAAACTGAAAAAAAAAAACACTGCAAGATTTCAGATGTGTGTATTGAAATCAGCCCAAGAATGGCAATATGGTAATGTCATCACAAATGTTGTCATGACAGAGCAAACAGAAGAACAGCCAACTTTCAGTCGAGAAATCAATGGTCAAGTTTAATGGTGAGCAGACTGTCATCTTTTTCACATGTGTTTGCATTTGCTCAAGTTTTAAACAGTAGACAAGTATGAATTAGGAGATTGTCTAGCATTTGGCTTGAAATTGCCAACAGCCCACTATCAAACTTTTGGCTATGATGTAGGAGATCAGTTTGCAGCTGTAAATGTTCAAATCATCTGAAATTCATTGGGAAAAATGCATACAGAGGAAACTTTTTCCAACAGACCAAAACAACACCTTTTTTATGGAGGAAGAATGTCATAGAAAACAACTGAAGGGTTACAGGTTCCATAGACAAGTCATAAATCATACTGGCCATGTTTGGGTTAAATTCTATCATGAATAAGAAAGCATTCAGAAAAACCTACAAAAGATTTGCTGTGAATTTTGAATATGGTTTGATTGGACATCTCACAAGAGAAGATAGCAGAACTGATTAATTCCCTATCTGAAAAGTTTGTTAAATTATAATTTACACAATAACATATCCTTTAATGCTTTAATTACTAAATTTGTCATGTATCTGTCATTGTTAAAACTATCAGGTAAAAATGCTAACAGCAAATGTAATCCAATAGCATACAAAGAAAAAATGAAATGAACATAGAAAATCAGGTGTTATTGCTGTTTCTCATAATTAGATATTTAAACTGGAAATAGTCTGAGATATATTAGAAAAATGTTCACCTTTACATCCTTTTTAACTTTGTTTTTAAACTGTTTATAGCTAAACATGCATTACAGAATGTAAACAGAAAAAAAAACTCTCAGTACAGAAGCACAACACAACATAATTATAGTCCAGTTAGATTATGAAACAGGACAATGCTGATGTCAAGGTGACAAGCAACTAAATTATGTGGCAACTTATTTTTATTCAACTGTAAACTAATAAGAAATGAAAATTTCATTTTTATATTGAATAAAAGCATCAATTATTCCAGAGTATGAAAGAAGTTATTAATATTTAAAAACAATTTGATGATCTAAAAACCTGAAATAACAGAATGATTATATGCCATATAGTCTAGATATTATATTGTATAAGATCATATAATTTAGAAACATTATGCAGTGAAAAATACATAATGGCTGTTTATTGTGGTCGAATATAATGACATAATAGTAATAGTAACAATAATATCATTAAATACATTATGCAAAGAGTTATATATATCAAGAAATGATGCTGTTTGTAATATGTGAAGGTTGTCACATATATAATGAAGTTATTGCATAACAATAATTTGATGTCATTTCAAGAGTTTGAAAGTTACATGAGAGGAGATGCAAAATATTTTGAAGCCACTTAGAATATTAAAAACTGGATTCTATATAAAGCAATACTTTTGTTTATATAATAAAGATGAAAATATGAAATAAACACTAGAAAAGAAAGGGTGAGAGAACAAAAGACAAAATCAGAAAGTGCTGCAAGGTGTATAAGTTTCAGTTAAATGGAAATCAAAATGTAAAACATTATAACTGATCAGAAAGTTGAATGAAAATCAAAGCAGACTGTACTGTAAATATACACGCATACTACTGACTTACATAATAAAATATGACACTGTAGGTATAATTAATATCACTATCAATCTTTCTCTATATACACATACACAATGCCAAGTTATATTACGCAAGTCAGTATTTTCAAAAAAGAATTTTTATTAACAAATTGATATTAGTAAACTTTTCAGGATATATTTATATGATAAATATATACCAGGTGAATTCCAGCTTTAAATATGATTTTATTGGAAATATTTACAATAACCTATTTGGTAGGGTGAGATGTTATTATGCAACTGAAGGGTTGTTCCTATTATAAATAAATACATGTAATAGTATAGTATTGATATTTATTTCATAATTTCAGGTATGAAATAAATTTTCATTGTTTGCAGGAATGATATAACATCAAAAGAGGAACACAATATGCTAATGTAACTGAGTGATGGGAATACAAAATTGGAAATTTTGAACAGAGATCATAGAACAATAAAAAAAGAAGAAATTGATATTAACAAAATCAGAACAAGAAAATAAACTACCTCTAAGAATGTCACAAAATGAGAAAAACTAAAAGAGTAATAATAATCAAGTGGGTTGACCAGCAAGAAAATAGTCTAAGAAGCTGGCATTTCAAAAATAAACAGAGAAAAATGTAGAACATAAGAACATTGGCTCAAAATATAAAAGCAACTAAATTATCACAAAGTAAGTTGGGTAAAAAAATACATGAAAATTGATTTTTCAACTGTAATTATAGTGATGATTGTAGAGCTGATGGCTGGACTCAATCTTTCATGGAAATAATCAAACAACATGACAGAAGACAACAGGGGAGGTGGAGTAATGTTTTTGGCCAGTAGTCTAGGCAGTTAATTTATAGGCCCCTTCAAATTTGATGATATTTGCAATTATGGGGGCAAGACATTTTGAGTGGTATAAGTCATAACAAAGAAGCTTTATGCTAAAAAGCATTCTGCAAAGCTGACCCACCTTATCAAAGAAATTTTTCAAAGACACCAGATTAATAGAATGGCTCTCCAGATATTAATCCAATAGAAAATACATAGTCCATTGTTAAAAGATATGTATATGAGAATGGAAAACAATATCTAAGAAAAGATCTCTGGGAAGCAATAAAAACTACTGTAAGTCATGTTAAATTCAAAACAGTAAAAAAAAATATAAATCTTAACAACATTAATGTTTGAAAGACTGATAAATGTCAAGGAGCCCATACTGGCAAATAAAATAGAATAATTTATCCAGGTACATAGGATATTAATCAAATAGATGATTCTGTCACATGTATATATGCATACAAACACAAGTATGTGTGTATTTTTTTTAGACCAGTATTGCTGAATGAGAGCAAGTGCCTCTGCTTATGTCGTTAGTCAGTTCTTTAAAAGCTGTGACTAACTTCTGATGTCTATTGTTTTCATAATGACTATATTATAATGAAGTACAATGATATAATGATTCTTTTACCATTTAAAGCACAACTAGAAAACTGCCTGAATATATAAAAGAAGAGGATTGCTATGATGAAATCATTTAATATATTTGAAAGAAAACCTCTTGCCTATCACACGTAACAAAATTTTAATATTTTGTCTTTATATCCTTTGGTCTTGAAAAATGTAATTAATTTCATGCTTAGAACATTTCCCACCAATAAACTTAAAAAATATAACTTAAGATAGGGACAGTTTACATTTTAAAAAAGCATTTGGTTTGAGATGTACAAACTGATAAGAAAACTCAATGAAAACTAGTCATTTAGAGTTAGCAACTTTAGATAAAAAATAAAAACTTGAGGTTTTAAATTTTCACAATTTTGCTAATTTCTAATATTTGGCAAAATCATTGAAGTTGACAGGAAAATACTTTCTTAGCCTTCAGATATATTTTAATCATAAAGAAAATACCATGTAATTATTACTTTTTAAATCATAACCCTTTACTTTCATAATGACTAAAAATATATTTTGCTTAATATGATTCAAATAAGTTGTTTTTTTTCAGTCTTGTCAATGACATTTCACAGTAAGCAGAAGGTGAAAGAAAAGTAGAAAAGAAAATAAAGGCAGTGGTGGTGGTGGCAGCAGACAACACACAAGGAAGGACTACAAATGAGAGATTAAAAAGAGAGATTGAAGCCGGTCCTCATTACTTACACCTGCTGAATGGCAAGTGCCCTCCGAGAGGCAACAGGAGATCCTTCGCTGATGCTGCCTAATGAAAGTCGGCTGAAGGCAGAGAAACAGAGGAGGTTCAGAGATGAAATCGAGATAGAAAGAGATAAACAGACTGAGAGATAAAATAGGTTGATATAGACAGATTGAGTGTGTGTGAGAAAAAGTTAGAGAAACAACTGAACTTTTTAAGTAAAAGGGAAATGAAAGAGAAAGTGAGAAATAAATGCAAAAAAAATATATTGATGATGTCTTGTTATGTGTGTAGCAGTTGAAAAAAAAAAAAAAAATAGTGCCATAGTTTACCCCAAGAAATAAGACAAGGTAATTACAAAGATCTTAACTGTTCCACTTTGATTTTAATTATAAATTTAAGGTATGTATACAGATAAATCTGAATGTGTGTGTGTGTGTGTGTGTGTGCACGTGTGTGTGTGTGTGTGTGTATTCATAAAAGTAACTACAGTTATTTCTGCATAAACAGTTATGTTCAAACAACACAAACATTAATACTGACACTCATGCATACAAACAACATATTCTATATTTTTGTGTCTGTGTATATACATAATCCAATTAGGACACAACTGAAATAAATGCCATTATTTTCTCTCCTTAATAGTGTTTTTTTTCTCATTCTCACACGCAGTAAACTCTTGCATCTTAGTGGCTTTATTGCCTTGCTAAATAATTAAAAAAAAATGAATTTAGACTCTTTGAGCAGCTGTTATATTTAGTGAAGAAACATATGAACAATATTTTCATTTTTACTAATAAGTATGCATAGTGAGGAACAGAAAATAATTTTCTCCTTTTTAGTCAGAAACAAAGGTTTTATTAACCAAAAATTAAAACAAATTCACTAAATTTTCAGACAAAAAATATTTTTAAAACATTTAATCTTTGTTTTAATATTACACATTTAATAACAAATTGAAATAATGTATTTGTTAATTTAAGAATTCACTGAGAGTATCATTTTTTTTTTTAGTTTAAGTGACTGCATATGAACAAAACCAGTCCAAGTATCTAATGAAGGAACTGCCTTGTATAAAATAATTCATCTACATATTTCATTCAACAAGTCATTTTTCCTATTCAAATGTGTCATCTTCACTATTTTCATGATCTTTGGATGTTATTTGATATTTTCTTTAACAATTGCATTCATTCTCATTAAATCTTTGCAAATTTTCATAGTTTTTAACTTTGAAAATGCCTTTATTTTCAATTTGGGGCATACAATGGTTCTCTATATTAGAATGTTTAAAGTCACAATGGGCAGTTCTGGATTGTCTTGACTTTTATTCTTTATTCACTTTTCTTATCATGTTTTTTTTAATTTGTTTCAGAATAGCGATTCTTTCAGAAAGTTACAAATTATTACATGGTATTGTTTTCTCAGAGGTTTTGAATTTTGCATACACTTAATGATATATACTGTAAAATGCTGCTTACAACAAACACTACCTGACCAAAGCTGACTAATTGGTGATAAAGTTAGCAACATGGTCTAACTAAATGGTTTCAATTTAAAGAAATTATTAAAAATATACTTGATTTATTTTAATTTTTTAGATTTGGCTCAAATGAATAAATATCCCAATTAACTGAAATCTGTGGAACACACACATACAAATGTATATATGTTACACACAAGGTGCACTAGGTACTTGAAAACATATGTTTAGTATGTCATAACTAATAGAAAGCCTAATCTAATATTATGCATTACACACAAATTTTAATATTCTTATTTCTCTTTCAGTACTGCCAGGTTAAATCTATTCATAGCATTAACATGACAGCTGCCAATCTGACAACAGAAATAAAAAAACACACCATGCTCATGGCATTAGCTGCTAACACATTGACTGAGAGAAAGGCCAGATTCTTGAAAGTGGTTAGGTCCTTTGTGTTCAAGGTCATGAGTGAGCTGGAGTCATATGGCAATGATGTACTAAGAGATAGAAACATTCTCAGCAGTCAGACATTACAAGGATGGCCAAGTTTGTCCAGCAGTTCCAGACTAAAATCAACTGTAATTGAAGATGGTGAGTGTCATTGCTGAGCTGCTTAAGGTAGCAAAATCCACCATCAAATATGTGTTGTACAAAGACATCAAAGACATGCCCTATGTAATATCTGACAACTCTAATTAAAGTAGTTGCTGAACAAACACAAACAGCCCAAGGAACCTGGCATGCTCTGATTCTTCTCTGATGGGACCAGAAGGTGAACAGGTGGAATATCAGATGGGTCTGTGTGTCCTGAAAGTTGTGAGCAATGAGGGACATGTCATGCAATCCCACTTCTTCCTGCAGGGAATCAGGGCCAAGTTTGGATTAAGTGGGTAAGCTTGGAAAAGTTGTATGTGTGGCAGCAGGACTCTGCTCAATCTCAGATGGTCTGCATGACACAGGAGTGGCTGGCCAAGAATTTCCATGCCTATCCCCAAAATATGGCCTCCAAGGTCTCTCGAACCTCATGAATGACACTATGTCTAAAGCATCAATATCAACATCTCAATGAAGGCATCATCATGGACATGATGGCCAGTATGAACAGGGAACAACCCTGATCCAGGCATGTAGTCTCTTTCAAAAGTCATCTTTGAGACAGAGGGCAGTTTTATTGAATTAACTTCTGTTTTTCTAAATTTAACATTGTTTTTTTTAAATAAACTGATTCTGTATATTGAATGTTTTTCTTTATAAATTATTCTCAGTTATCTGGTGCACCCTGTATATATGCTTGCACACACACACACATTATATATATATATATATATATATATATATATATATATATATAAACATAGAAAATATATGTTTATCAAGTCTCTTTCATACATAAAAATGCATACACATAAATCTGAATAAACTATTATTATTCATATCAATACTTGTATGTATATAAATATTTGATGAACCTAAGCAAGTTTGGCACATACACAAATTTTTCAGCATTCATTGTAAAAGGAATTAACTAACAATGGCTTGTGAGACAAGCATGCTACTAAAAGTTTTCCATACTTATGTACGTATTTATTTGAACAAATCACTGTAAATTGAGAATATGTCAAGAATGTTTGATGATAATTTTCTCTGTGTGTATGTGTGTGTGTGTATATATATATAAGACAAGTTCATCATCAGTGTCAATATTTCATACGGAAATCAAAATATCTGATGAAAACAAGCAAGTAAACGCCATTATTACCTTTGAGAGCCATTGAGCTGGACAGCGTCAACTCTTTTTCTGGGAGGATCTAGAAAAGAGAATTTTAACTAATAACTAAAAAAAAAGAAAGAAATATCACCAGAGCAAGGGAGACAACTTTTGAAAATTATAGAACTATAACAATTCAACATTTTCTAGGATCCCAGTTTCTGTATGAATTATAAATATAACAATATGCCTCATGAAAATACAATAGTGCTATTTATTACAAGATCAATATATTATAGAGTATATTCACTGTTGCACCTGTTGCAAGAAGTTGTGGTTCGTATTTTCACAGAAATCTTTTGTTAAAACTTGCAATTCCATCATATCTCTATTTAACATATAAAGATATTAGAATATCAATTAAGACATGACTACTCATTACCTCTTACTTACCCAAGCATAAAAGAATGACCCCTCTGTTTATGGCTACATTTTAGACTACATAGTTGCATCTTTCCATTTTATGACTCAAAGTAAGTGATCTCTGGGTTTCCAAACTGCTATTATGTCTGTTGGTACCACCTGTAGGACTAATCCACACATGTCAATCAATATATGCAAAAGATTATATTCAGGAAAATCTAATAAATATAACAAGTGCTCATCATCTTAATTATATTATTTGTTTCTGTTTACAAACTTCTCTTCAAAGTCTTAAAGTTTGGGTAAAGATCAGATTTAAAATTTGAAGAACAAACTCACAAGCATTGGGAATTAATTTATTATGAAGCATTAATTTATGGCACCATCAATTTTGTGTTTAAGTTCTTTCAGAGTGAGATTTGAAGGGTTTATGAACATATCTAACAACTTACAAGGGAAGAGGGAACTTGTTCTGATTGCTATGTTGAACAGCAAACAATTGAACACTAACATAGAGGAGTATCATTTGTAGGGTGTAAAAAAAAGAAGCTAACAGATAAGAAATGAACATAATATTGATGGTACAATGGTGTCAGAATACCAGATTTATGCTATTTATATATTTGAACATTAATATAATGATGAAAATACTCTATAGAATTGTGAACAGTATTTATAGGGATTTCATAACATGAATTGAAATCTGTTGTGCATTTCCTATACATGCCTATTTCAAATCACTATAAACAAACTATTGAGTTTAATCTTCATTAAGCATTCTACCTCTGTAGCTTTGTGTTGGATTAATCTTAACTTTGTAAATACCCATTCTACTTAAAACAGATATGATATTACTATACTGGATTCAACTAATGTAAAATTTATAAATAATCTTTGTTTTCTAAAGTGGCTTGGACTAACAAATAAAAATTAATTTAAAATACTCTAGTTTTTCTTGCTCTTTTCAATGCCTCTTGAAATATTAAAAGAAAAGAAAAGTAAATGACTTACCAGCATCATTCCGGCTCCTAATTTCAATATCATCTTCTATGCTAGGATTCCTTAATTTTCTATCTAACAGCAGAAAATATACAACCTTTTCTGTATTATGTCTGCAAGGAAGAGAAAATATGTACAATAGATTTATTTTCATATTCACAAAATTCCATCTAAAAAATTATTGAGTTCATAAATTTGTAAAAATTTACTCTTCTATGATTCTTATTTTGCAGTATACAGTTTGAAAATTGATAAAACTTATCTCTTTTATTAAAAGATGTTATAATAAAAATGTAAATTTTATGTAACTGTTGTATATATCCTTATTTGAAAAAAAAAAAACAAAAAAAAACAAAAAGCAATTTATGCATTTTCCAAAGTATACTATATGATATATGAAAGGATATAATGACTTACTTTTGTTACACAAATTCAGGATAAAGAAATATATAAATTCATTTTAAAGTAAATAAAATATATTAAATATAATCCAGCAACTCATTGGTCAAAATTTTAAAATTTGCCCAACATGACAATCAGTGATAAATGAAAACACAAAGAATTTTTAGAATACATAGAAGGATTTTATAAACATTTATTTTGGCTTTATAGCTGATTTCTCTTTCTTCTAATAAACTCAAACAACTGAAACTACTCAAGAATACTATGAAGTAGGCTTACCATACATCCTGACTTGGCTGGGAATGCCCCATTATGAGAGGTCTGCCCTGGTGTTCTGCTAGAGATATAAACTATCAATATTCATTGTTTTCTTTTTTGCATCAACCCTAAAGCTTAAATAGTGTTGGATCATAAAACTGTTTCAAGCTTGGAAATTATGGTAGGTCTACTATAAGGCCAACTTTCTAGATACAAAAGAAAAGAATGTACTTACTTTGAACTTAATAATTCCTGTACAAGTTTTTCTTTATCTTTAAAGCACTGAAGCGAGTTCATAGTTGACAAAACATCTGGATCTAGGTCTTCTACGGAGGGAATAATGGAAGTCTGAAAAAATGAATGTAAAAACATTCAGCATATGTTGGTAAGTGCAATATAATAGCATATTATTTATTTAAATGTTCAATTGTTGAATTGAGGAGTGTGAAAACAACAGATTAACAATTTTCATATCTTAGATTTTTTCTTTTAAAATTTTACTTAAAACAATTCTTATAAAATGGCAATATTGTATTTGTTCTTTTTATCATGTTTGGGCTGCTATACTTTATCTTCTTTTTTTTTAATTAGAAATTTTCATGTTAGACTTTCCAATTGAATTTTCTTTTACCTTTCTGTTATACCATACCTATGGTATAACAGAAATATGGTATGAGTATGTCCCATACCATATTTCTTATAAATACAGTAGAATATACTATATGTGATAGTATAAATACAGCAGAATATACTATATGTGGTAGTATAAATACAGCAGAATATACTATATGTGGTAATCATTTGGATTCACTGTGGGATTCACCTTGATTCACTTCTAGCTCACCATTATTTACTACATGCCGCTGGCAAATCTTGTATGTTATAAATATTATCGTTCCATTTCCAACCTCCATTTTAATTATTCTTATTATTCAGTAACTTTTTCCTAGGTTACAACACTTTTACAAAGTTAATTTTAAAAAAATTCAAATAATTTCAAACATATTTGTTTGACATTTAAAGCAATTCAGATGTCAATATTTCAAATATTACAAAATGCCCATTCTCAAAGTAAATGCTAACAAAACAACTTCTTAAATGATGAATATGAATTCACAATTTTTCACTTCCCATGAAACTTAGTATTTGTAATACAAAAATTGAAATATTTTGATATATTTGTAAATGTTTGTTGATGTCAAAATTTCATAACAATATGTTCATATTTAATGGAGAAAATCAAGAAAAGTCCTATTTGTAGCAAGGCTCTACTGAGTTTGACAATCTTGCCACTGAGGTGGGAACAAAGAAAGTTAAACTTTAATCATGATGTTTATAATGATGTTTGTCAAATTAAGAAAACTGTACATTTTGTTAAGAAAAAAATTATTAAAAAAGCAAATAAAATGTTAATTTTATATACAACTATTCATAAATAAACATTTTCATTCATTTTGTAGAGTGAAATTTTTTACCATTAGAATCTATAAATAACATTATTTGACTGTTAGAATTTCTCTTTATAATCTATAGGAAAGCATATTTCTCTAATGTAATGACAGTATTCAATCTTCACATGGTACTCCATAAATATATTCTTGTATTATATGAACACATAAATGAAAACTTAATTTAATAATATTTTGTTTTACATGTTAAATTTTATGATAGTAGTTATTTCTCCAATAAAACTAAAAATATATAAAAAAGAATAAGATAAAAATGACCTCAATACAGATAACTTCTGTTATGTGGATACAATGCCTCTCTTGTGGATTTAAAACAAGTATGTTTCATCATACAAACAAGCAAAGTTACTGTTTTTTTTGTTTATTTACTAGTTTGTAAATTTGTAGTAGTTAAAGCATCTTAAATAGTTTTTTTTTATTCACAATGTGAGGTAATTATTTAATATACAGTTGTGTCTTGATATTCATGGTGATTATATGTTAAAATCTTAAAAATATGAAATTTTCCAAATATCTATACTCCCATACAAATAAGTTCAAATACTTTCTATTGGGTTGAAACAAAAGTTTGTAGTGCTTTTCAATAGGTGTTGTTTGAACATGTGATTTCATTTCACCCATGACTGAAAATTATAACAGACATATTCTGTGACATTGTAGAGAAACTATACATATCTCATATGAGTGTTGAAGGCATTTGAAAACATGTTGATATATAAAGAGATGCAATATTTGGGTTGTCTCATGTGTTAATGGTAACAAATTTAATGAACCATATTTCCATCTGGGTTTCCCTGCTCAAATGCAGCAAAAACAATTCATTTTTGAAAAGAATGATCACAGGCAATTGTTTACAATGTAAAGTGAAAAAAATCTTGGGAAAATTGAAATGAGCCACTATTAACAACCTCCAAAACTGGTCTGAATCCAAAACAGTTGATGATGTGTGTCTGGTTGGATTGGAAGGCATTGTGTATTACAAGCACCTTCTGAAAAATCAGATATTGAATTCAGACAAGTACTGTTATCAACTGAACCAATTAAAGGTAACAACTGATGAAAAGCATCCAGAATTGGATAATTGGACAGGTGTTGTCTTCCATCAGGACAATGCCAAATCTCATGTCTCTTTGTAGACCAAGTGGAAATTGGTACAGCTTGGCTGGGATGTCCAACTATACTTACTGTATTTGCTTGAACTTAAACTTTTGGATTACCACATTCAAATCCCTACAAAATTCTCTTAATGAGAAGAACTTCAATTCTCTGGAAGCCTATAAAAGTAACTTAGATCCAGAAAGATATCAAGTTCTGGGAGAATGGAATCATGAAGCTGTCTCAAAGATGGTGAAAAGTAATGGAACAAAATAGAACATATATGATTGAATAAATCTATAAACAAATGTCTAGATATTGTTTTTGAAATTCACTTGAAAAATACTACAAACTTTTCTTCCAACTCAATATAATACTCACCTATTACACAGCATAGAAGAATATTTAAATTTGTTCAAAAGATTTAAAGTTTCATTATTATTATTTATAATTATTTAGTATATGTGTCATGGTACTCTTTACTTTTCTGGAGTCTTTTGGAGATTTGGCTTATTGTCCTTCATTTAGGATTCTTTTAGCTATTGATGCAAACAATAAAAACAATATGTACAAGTTATTTTATGAATAAGCATTATAAGGCACACACACAAAACATACCAATAAAAAGTAAGATCCCATGACTCCTTACTTAGATGAAATTTACTGCAATACTGAAGATACATGTATGCCAATTTTTTAGCATATGAAATTAACTAATGTAATGAATACTGTGTAAAAACATGAATCTTTGAATATGGAGGCCCAACTGTAAAAATAAATTGTTTCTTTTTTGGCTGAATAAATTCATTTTTTAAATTATCTTTTAAACACACAATTGATAAATGAATGCTTGATGAATTAATAAAACAAAACTGACATTTACAGTGGGGTACAAGTGCCTACCTGGACTACTTGGGCCACTGGTAACTCTAATTCAATTTGACCTTGGACATCTCTGCAAAATATAATTGGTAAAGCTATCATTAGATAGTTCAAAAGAATGTTTTTTTGTCAACTATATATTGTTAACATTGAGGCAGGTAGGCATTATATATATATATATATATATGAGAGAGAGAGAGAGAGAGAGAGAGAGGGAGAAAAATAAAAATTGTATATCATAAATCCAAGAATAATCTTTGCATGGTTGACTTTTTATTTATTCATGTTATAGTTTTTAAAAATCATAACAGTTCTATAGCTGTTTTCTCATTTTTATAAGTAGATACATCTTGTCAGAATGAAAGCTGATAGGTATCAATGTAAATGAATTTTTCTTTTACAAAATGAGCATGTCCTATCAATTTGAATAGAACTCCAAATATTTAAACTTTTATTGAATATAATTGTAATAATCTATATTTTTGCTTATGAACAGTTAAAATGTAATGGGAAGCTAAATAATCAAATTTGATATAAAATTTGTTGGTTTATAAAAGGTTCAAGAGAAGACCAACCAATTTAAAGAAATTGGTGGCAAATGAATTATTTCAAGTTGAAAATTAATACAAATAATCTATTAACAAGTTCCTCATTCATAAAATTATCCAAAGTAATAGGATGTTTCTAGCATATTACAAATTACAAATCAGTGAGAACAGCCCAGAAAACTTTTTAATCAAGAGGATATGCAATAATTTGGGAATTTTCAACTAATGATGTCATAAAAGATCATTACTTTCACTGAAGTCTATGAATTGTGTGCATAAAATGTATATTTGTTTTATCCATTAGCTTTTAAGAATTTATCATGTTTATTTTTATTTTTTTCTGATAAGATATTATTTAGATTACTTAAACTTTTATAAGTGGAAATGCTAACTTTTTGAAGTAAGGCAAGGGTGTATACACAAATCCTGCATTAAACAGATCTTTTGGTTTCCAATCTAATGCTCTAAGTACTTGGTTTAAAGTATAAAAGGCTTTACATCAATAAGGAGCAGAGCTCTGAAAGTAAATGTTGATTCTTTCAGTTAAATTAACATTTAATAGTATATAATTGCTTTATATTCTGTTACTAAGTAATACTTCAAAGTGCTGATAATAGCAGATGTATTCTTTTTATTCACTGCTAACAGTTGACTTTAATGACTTTTACTCATAATTCTTAAATCATTAATTTAACATTTTATTTACTCTTAAATATTAGCTACCATCCAAAACATAATATTTACCACACAGTTGGCAATAGCAAGCCAATGTTCTAACAAAGGAAAAGTGAAGGATAATAATAGACTTCTTCAAAGCCTGTATGATGAAAAGTCAACACTGATAACAAAATATGGGAAATGTTTCCCAAATTCTTTTAGAGAATTTTTAAAGTGAGGGAAAATCTGAAGCCAATAACTAAATAAGTAAAAAAAAAAAAGCCCTGAAACACTCCATCCTGACAAATTATGAAAGATGCAATATTTATTCATTTTTTTTTATTCCTTGCTTCTTTAACATATCATTGTATGCAAGAAAACAATTTTCTAAAAATTTGATTTTTTATTTACTGTTAAAACGAAAATATCCTCCAAAAAGATATGATCAAGCAAGGTAGATAAACCATCTTTTATTATTAACAATTAAAAAGTTATATTTGCTATTTTAAGAAAAGAAGTTATGAGAAACAAAAAGAAATCTTTATTTAATTGAATTAAATGAAACATTTTTAATTGTATTTATAAGAAAAATGAATTTAAAAAATTTGGGATTTTTGGTTCTTTGACCATTCCATTCATTCAGTATTTCAGAAGAATTTCTTTGCTCTCAGGAATGCAAGTGAAACATTAACATTAAGACTGTTGAAAATAAAAAAGTGATAATTTTCATGGTAATTTCTGAAAATAAAAGAATAAAAAGAAGCAAATAAAGAGAAAGTAACTGACATATGCCAAATTCTTACTAACACTTGAACCATTAAGATAATTCTTTTGTATCATTTTTTGTCTAATACTTTATTTATGCAAATACAAAACAAAGGAAGTGAAAATTTTTACAGATTCTTTTTATCCTTTTCATTCAATAAAATTGGCATGAAAACAGTGTTCCCTGTTAAAAATTATCATTTAAAGAAGACTTATATCTTGATAGGCTTATCTATGGCCAGAATTATGATTTTAAAAAAAAAAAAAAGTTAAAAATTGGAGTGGGAGGAGTTACAGTTCCTAGTCCACTATTTTCACTTTTTAAACTTTCAGATTTTTTTTTACACACACACACACACACACACACACACACACACACACAAAACTGCTAGATTATAATATTTTTTGAAAATTATTGTAGAATTCTTATATTTAATAAAGAAAATATTATTTCCTAGCAGAAATTGACAGTAGTTTTTTTTAATTTTATTATAGTCATAATCAATTTTACTGTCAGTTCTCAAATGTTAGTTTTTTTTAAGCTGAATACATGTTTGAACTTATTTGCAGATGTTAAATACCACTTTTATTTTTTTTCTATGTATTTTTAAAAATGACTGTCCAAATGCTTAATATACTGACTTTAGTTGATTTATATCTTTTTATACACTCAATTATGATAAAAAAATATGAACACATGATTTGATATTTTTAGTTAAATTTTTCTCATAAGAAATCAAAAATTCTCTGGAAAACATTAATTAACATTATTATTCAGAAATAATTCAGGACAATACACAATTAGTAAATTTACTAACACTTTATTTATAACTTGTAAATATTTCTCCAGTATTTTTCCTTGTAAGAACTGCCAATTCTATGAATCTTGTTCCCATTTGTTGTATGATAGGCCATGAAAATAGAATTATGCGTTTACAGTAAAAAAATGAAAATAAAAAAGGAGAAACTGTTTGATGTTTATTTCTATTGGCTGCTTACAGATAAACTACCAGCCTTCAAATATGTTTTTGTGCTAATTTAAGAGTGAATCAATTTGAAGATGTTAACAGGAAAATGTCTTTTCTCTACAATGACTGATTCCAACAGCATTATTTAATTAATTACTTAAAATAATTGCTACATTTTTCTTTTGCAAAAACAGAATATAAAATTTTATTATACAAAACTTGTTTATTTGCTATATATATATATATATATATATATATATATATATATAATATTTATTCTGGTGCATATATTATTTATTTTACTCATGGATAATGACAATTTTGATAAAATATGAATCGATAAAGATGTATTAAATCTAACTTAGTGTAAGGTGGTGGCTATTATAAATAACTACAATTGTACAATAATAATATTTATTGTTTAGTACCTTCTTTAAACATATGAAAAATAAATATTATAAATTAAAGTTCAACTGGAGTTTTAATTAATCTCTATCTTTAAACCTTCTTAGTGCAAATTCTGCATTAAAAAATTACAATATTAACATTTTACTGGTGTTTTTTATGCCAGAATGGTCAAAATAATAGGAAGTGCTATTTTGAAAATATTCTTAAAAAAAGATTCTCATTAAATAGGCTTACCATAATTTCCAAGCCTCAAACTGGGACAGTTTTCAATTTTTATTACAAATTTAATTTTCTTGTATAAAAAAGTTTTCATGACCCAACACCCCTTAAGTTTAAGGGCTCACACAAACAAATGAAAACTGATAACTTATATTACCAGTAAAACCCCCTGAGATAGTCCCAGCCAAACTGGGACATATGGTAAGCCTATCATAAAAGGGCATTTTTTATTGTAACAAAAGAACAACATCTCACATAAAACCTTTATGAAATGGACCGCTACACAATAGCTAATATTAAGTCAATATCACTGCTGGAATAAACATTATATAAGTTAATGATAAAAATATTGATATAATATTCACATTCATCTTAAGATACTGTATACCACTTCTGAAAATAAAAAGTTTTTGATCTTTTTTATTGATATTGACCAATAGTCAATAATATTAAGCAACATTTTATACTGAGAAAATATTGAATGCATAAAGGCCACTTAAGATTTTATGAATTTAAGTCAAATTCTATGAGACCAAAATTAAAAATATAAATAATTAAATTACAATAATTTAAGTTAGATGTGCACATTTCAAAATAAAAATATTTTACATTTCAAATAGAAATTCTATCAAAGTGAAGGTTTAATAATTAGAAAATTAATGATGATTAAAAACATCATGAACAGGCATTTTATTAACACAAATTATCGTACAGAGTTTTAAAATATTTTTAGTCTGTCATGAAGATTAAAGAAATAAAAGATAGGAAAACTTGAAGTTCATTTGATATATTGAAGCAATACTAACTTCTGAAAGAATAAATCTAATTTAACTGTTAAGAAAAAGAGAGTGAGACTTCTAAAAGAAGCCAATTGAAGACAATGGTGCATCCCATTAATACAGATGGACACAATCACTATCCAGTTCAAACATTGGACACAAGAGTGCAATCCATTTAGGCCAACAAACAGTGCTATCTCTGTAAATATCACACACACACATATATAGTATAACTATCATATAGTACACAATTGTCCATATAATGCATAAATTATACATTATGATCTTGCACACAAAAGATGGGTGCTGAAATGATCTCAGGCTAACCTATTTCCTAATATTTGACCAAATACCAAAATTATTTTGGGGATATCATCCTGGTTGTCTAAGAACTTTTCAGAACCCCTTCTCTTTCATACACCCACACACATATTGAAGAGAGGACTAATTTCTATACTTATCTAGTAACCTACTATTTTCTCTTTTTATTAGGAAAAAAGAACAATCTACAAATTATATTCATAATTTTTTACTGAAAATCGATGACATACAAAATATTTAATAAATAAAGTTAACAAAAACATCAGTTGTTTTAATATGGTATATATTAATGAAGAATTATTTCAAAAACATATTTATATCAATTTAATATATTATGTACATGGTAAATAATGTGTAAAGGTAAAAGACAAGGTAAATAATATAGGCCATGTTTGAAAAAAAAAAAGT